CGTGTTTTTTTAACCTGTTTTCATCATAGTTAAATAAATTAAGCAGTGGTCATGGGTGACTTTTCATAGCGCTTCTTCATTAACTCTGCAATGATAACAAAATACATTACAATTGGTGACGTTTAAATCTTTTCAAAAATTCCAAAAGACCAAGAGAGAGAGAAAGAGAGAGAGAAAGAGTAGAAGAGAGAGAAAGACTGACTTGGCAAACAAACGTACTGTAGGATCTCATCTGTCTGTGAATGCAGAAGATATCCGGTCTGTACCATCATGTTCGACTTCCTTTCATCCCCCCTAAGTTCTATCTCCTGTCCGCCGCCCAAGTGCCTGCTGTGCTCCTGCCGCCAACTGTTGTTACGATCTCGCTGCACAGAACTCCCACGGGAGATGGTGCTGGAGCGCATACTTGTGGTATGGTACCGAGTTCCACGGTCTCTCCGGTACGAGCTCTGGCTTCTCAAGCTGCCGCCACGTTTACATCTGCGGCAGAGTAATTTTAGATCGGCCTGGAGAAAAATATATCGGAAATAAGAGTACGTGATTACAAGACATTTGAAAAATAACGCCAACTGTTGATAAAATCATATTAGAACAACTTGATATTGGCCCTTTAGTTATTTATGAAATTGGCGAAAATAACCAAAACCAGTGATTCCTCAATTAGTGAGTCAAAGTGTGTGACATTAAGTTTCAGGTAACAAAATAACAAATACCCTGAAGTTTTCATTTAGAAATCCATAAATTATAGGGTTGCTGAAGCTGTTCGACATGGCCAGCCAGTGGCATGTGAAGAAAACACCGTAGTACACGCGCTCGTGTGTTTCTGTCTTGACGAGTAACAAGAGGTCCGGCTTGGCGTCCAGGATTAAGGCCCAGAGGTGCAGCGGAAGCCAACACAATGCAAACACCACTACCACAGCCACAAGCATTTTGATCACCTTATGGAAACATTAGAAAGAACATATTTTTAGAAAATATTAAACACCACTTGTGGGTTTTTTTTCTCTATTTCTATGATTATCGATTTATACTATACAATTTGCAGCTGTGTAAATTTTAACGATGGTAGACTTTTTACCATTTGACAGTTTTATGAAATATGAAGGCAACATATTCTGTCTTTCCTTGTTCCAGATTGAAACACTTAATCAGACACGTGGATGTCGCATGTATATTAAAGATAAAAGCAGGTTATTTTCAGTAAGCTTTTTAAGTTTTAATTCACCAGATTGAATGGCCATTTTATATGGAAATAAATCATGACAGTTCATTTAAAACCGTTTTATGAAAAGGTACGTGTATTTCTCTCCATCTTACCCTTCTTTTAGATTCAAGTTGCAGCTGATCCCTCACTTCGTCAGGATTTCCAGGGGTGGTATATTCCCACAAAGATTTGCCAATACAGTAGTAGGACACCGAGAGAGCTCCCAGGGGGAGAAAATAAGCCGATAGAAACATAAAAACCGTGTACCCTAAATGTAAATCAAAAGGCAACATTTAAGAGATGTAGAAAACAGTGCTTCATCGACTGACAATTGAGTAGTATGAGAACCTAGGGCTCAGCCAAATATCTTCATTATTTTATGAGTAGTCGTTATATCATTGCTTAATCTAATACTTATTTTCTATTGTGCATTTTCATCTGCCCATGTAGATAGGCCCTATATACGCTACAATGAATAAAGCAAAGCATGGCGATTTTAGAACAGACGACTATACAACTATAAGCTACGTAGCTACTTAGGATTTATATTTTTTCTACTTATGTAGATCAATTTACTTTTGATAGATGACTGAGGAATGGTTCACTACTTATACAGTACAAATACTTTGAGAAATACTCGAACGCAACACTGTGCTTAATGGAACATGTATCCTTTAAACGTATCTTTACGTGCAACTTGAAACCCACAAAGTCATTTCATCGCTGTAATTCACACGATTTATTTTGTACTCAGCATCAAAGAAAGCTTCATCACGTCACAGCCCTAAAAGGCGAGACATATGACTGACTACTTGAGTTTTGAGAAAACTGTAGAAAACCAAAACAGTCTATTGTAGACAAACCTAATCGATAGGAACTGTCGGGCCAGATCTCGTTGCAGTCTTTGTGTTCTGTGAAGTTCTCTGACAATCTTGCCACAGCAAATTGCACCGACGCCAAGGCAAATGAGACAACCCAAACAATAGATAAGACTACGCCTGCTTTCCTCTTGCTTAGTCGTCTTCTTAATGGGTATTTCACTGCCAGATACCTTGAAGAGGTACACAGTACAATATAAACGTTCATCTATCAAATTCACAGAAGCATATTAAAACCGATATTCATTTTGGTCTTAAATTAGAACGTTTATATAGATGTAGTTTGGGTTTTTACATAAGCTTCAGCTAATTTTTGCAAAAAAAAAAAAAAAAAAAAAAAAATTAAAAGCATTATAAAAAGTTAACATGGTAAGATACTCAAAGCAGTATCACAAAGCTATGCATTTACCGAGTATTCCCATAAACTAACTGTGAGGTATTAAGTAGATGAAAATAAATTGGTAATAACTGCATCTTAACCTGAATGAATACCTTCGTAGATTATTCTTAAATAAGTGGTGTAGATAACTTATCTGAATTTGAAAAAGATGAATGACAAGGCATATTTTCTCTTCCGTTGAGGTGACATGTAAAACTAAATCAATTTTCTAACGATGCAAATAGAAAGTGTTATGTTGTGTTCCATGCGCATAACGCCGGATTGATCACAGGTATGCCCATTATGGTATAGGGTTACATCTGGAAATACAGCTTTTGAGATTTATTCCTGAACACTGTGAACATTGATACCAATAATTTCTCTCAATTATTGTCATTGCTGCCTCCAAGGACAAGAGGGTTCCGATTTTTATATCCTCTTGATGTATCAATTTAATTAAGTGGCAGTTGCTTTCGATTATGTATATATTGGAAACAGCGGAAATAAGCCTAGGTACTTCTCTTATTTATTGGCCTTGCACATTACTAAAAAATTGAAAAAAAAAAACGAACTTGAAATATTGTAATACCTGAAAACAAAATGCAATGACAAAGAACTTAATAAGGATGATATCTACATTATCCTAGAACTTTATTAAAAGCGCAACGAAAATATCATATACTGTTTCTGTTGACGGCCATGGATGGGTAAGGAGCGATGTGTCCTTAGTTGATGAGCATGTTCTCATAATGTGCAATATTTTAAACAGAGGCTTGTAATGTAACGGGGAAAATAGTAAGACGTTGAATAGAGAGAGAGAGAGAGAGAGAGAGAGAAATGGGAAGAAGGAAACTGGGAAACAGTAAATAAAAAGTTTGAAAGAACATAAAGTTCTTGTGGTTTCTACCTCGCGCAACACCTAAGTAGAATCAATATAATCGTCACGCACGTATACCGTTCTTACCTGTCAATGCCAATGGTCATGTTGGTAAAAATACTGACTGACACCATAAGGACCTGGGTAAACAGCACAAAGGTACACATGAATTCGCCAAACACCCAATCTCCCAGCATGGCCTGCGTGAAAGTAAAAGGAATACAGAACAGCGCCATTCCAAGGTCCGAAACCGCCAGGTTGACCAAAAATGTCGTCAGGTCGCTCCGTGATCGGTTGCCAAAGATGAGGATAATAATGACGGTCAGATTTCCCACTATTGCAAACAGGGCTGTCATTGAATAGACTGTGGCGATGATTGCTTGCACCCCACGGTCAAACGGGTGTTTGTCTTCAAGGGAAAGGGACATCCACCATGGTAACGGAATATTAGCCCTACCATTTTCATCATGCTCCGTTAGTGATAAGTTAAACAGTCTGTTTTTAGAATGGTTACGCAACGTGTCATTCATAATTTTCCAGAACGACAAGTTCATTTTGAAAAATCTACAATTACATTTTTATAATATGGCGTGAGCCGTGTAACGTTTCCAATCTCATGCTGTATCAAAGTGCGCAAATGCATATATTAAGCGGCCGGTTGCAAAACCGGCGAAAATTGTGCTAATTAATAGTGACGTGCCAGTTTTACAAGTTGGCTTGACATGTGATATGTTTGCCAAGGAATTATATATACCTTCTTGGATATGCTTACTTTAGATAATCAAGTGCAAGAGTTCAATCCAGAGTATTCCAGAAACCAACAGCTTTTCGGTTGGGATTCTAGGACCACCAGCTACTTAGTATGATTAATAAAATCTCTTTCTCTCTCTCTCTCTCTCTCTCTCTCTCTCTCATCTATACATTCGCTTACATGATACGCGCTTTATATAAATTAAACGACTTCTTAACCTAAAACACAATTTTAATTAAATCAGTGTAATTTATTTCGTGGAGGCCCTGGCCATTTTTGATCTGGTGTGCCCACGGCATCTCGAGTCGTAATAGTGCCATGCTTAGAACTTAGGCATCCGCAGTTATCATCTGCTCAGTTAGGCGACTGACTGAACGGACCTTTATTGCCAAGCACTTTGTACTTCCGAGTGAGACATGATGTAGACAAAAAACTACAAAACAATCCCCTCCCCTCTTAATGGAGGTATAAAAATATACCGGGCTGTACATCAATATAATATTCATTGGAAGATGAAAGGATCCCCGTCTTTATTGAACGCCCACGACCTTTTCAGTAGTTTGGTGGTTTTACAACAAAACTTTTTACTTTTAAACGCGTTTCATTTTTCTTCGGTCTTTTCAGCATTTGAAGCTAATCAGCTTACATCATTCCCTGAAATTAAGTACGCGGTTTTAGCTGGAAATATTTGTATTCAATCACATTTTTGATACTTTACCACCAAAGACCAATTGTGGCATTTCCTGTCTATACACAATCATGTTTCTGAAATAAGACAAGTGATTTCGATGGTTCAGTCATTTTTATCCTTATTCCTTTTCAGATTCTTGAACATATCATTTACATTATTAAAGTTTGCAATTACAAAACTCTTTGATTTCACACTAAAAGGATACTTTTATGCATGAATAAATACAACTGAAGTAAATCAGGCTATAACTATACACAACAAAATGTAAAAGATCGCAAACACAGCATGCTGCGTTGCATTTTGATGCAAATCGATTGCATTCCATTTCAATGAAAAGAAAAGAGGTATTACTCAGTATAAACACCAGAAGTAACAGTGTGTTAGTATTGATATATAATTTAATTGGTATAGTGAATCCTACGATTGAACCGACACGAAAGAATCTTATGTATGGGAACCGCAGGACATTATTGCGGTAGAGAAGACGCTGAATATGACTAAACACATCGTCATCACAACTATGCATTGTGCAGTTTCGAAAATTGATTTTTGGACACATATACAGTTGCGAAGAGGAGGTAACACAAGTAATGTATTCGAGAAATGTATTTAGAATGTGTTGATCTATGATACATGATTTACCCTGTATGACCTTAAATACGTAAGCAACCTCACAATGTCGTTCAGACGTCCTATTTAATTAGCCTATCACTCCGTCCACCTGCTCACCAACTGTCGCAATCGGAAACGCCCTGCTTATTAAAGAACAGATAATCCAGGTAACTCAGAAGGGGTGTTTGCACAAAGTTTTGAAGTGTGACTCATGTTGGAACCTGGATCGGGCCTGTTTGTTAGAACCCAATCAGTTTACTGCTTCTCATAAGCCAGAAGCATCTGATTAAGAAAAAATTGCATTCCACGCTAACAAGTGCTTTTACCTGTTGCGCAGCATGATCTACCTCTGAGCCGGTTGTTGGACTGGGCCTTTTATTTCTCGCCAGCCGTGCGCAAAGTTACCAAATTAACACCTTACAACTAAAAAATGGGCGTGCTAGAATTTCTGAAACCCCCTAAATCTGGAAAATGTGCCACTGTAATTAAGACCAAACATTATATTGCACTGGATGAGAGTGTCAAGGTTAATTCCAAGCAAATTTGGAATATGAACGTGTGCCAAATACATGTATGAAAATAGAAGTGTGTATGTGAATATCAGAGTAATCACACCTCGCAAGATCCCAGCATATAGCTACGTTAATTTTCCTGAACATCATTTCATCATTTTGGTTGTAGGGGTGTTGTTTTCATCTGGCTCAAATATGACTAACCCTTACTATTTCTAGAAACCCCGCTTCTACTCTTTTAGAACCAATGAGGTAACCGCGGGAGGAGTTAGAGGAGTTGAGAAGGTGAGCCAGACGCTAAAGGTGAAACGCTGGAGTGTCGTATTGCGATACCTTTCATCGAAAAGCATAAAAAAAAAGTGACTGGCTCTCGGAAAGTGACAGGAGGCCCCCGAACGGTTCAGAATGAGTTTTAGTTACGATCAGTTTGCTCACTTTTTTATTGAGACGGATATAGACCACAGCGGCTCTTTGGACATCGGGGAGTTAATAAGTCGGCTTAGAGCTGGTGGTTACAAGGGATCTCAGTTGCAAATCCAGGTAAGCACTTGAGTTACCTGTGCCATCGAATTTCATACCTACTGTGGGTGGTGTGTGATAAGAGATCTATGTCTTTCTGTGTTAATCAATATATAGTAGTACCTGAATTACGTTGTATTTATTTTATCTGACTATCTGTGAAGTACCGGTGTCTACGTTCTATATGAACGATATAAGTAAACACATTCAGTGTTTATGTGGCTTGATGTTCAAATGTTCCTAAACAAAACCTTGCATCGGGTCAAAATACTCCTATTGGTTTATGGTGAACGCCTAGTAAATGTTTTCTTGAACTTTACTGCCTGTAATGTATATGTGCATGTTTTCACAGACGTACGTGGTATGTGCATACAGGCACAGTAGTAATAGTCTGAATGCCTTATTAATCGTGTCCGAACACGACGCCGTAATATTTTTGTGCAATACAGTTCTTAGTATATAATTTGCATAGATTATTACGCAATCAAGAGAGCCCCAGAAAAGACTAACACAACCACACAACCCGTTAATTGAGTTGTTGGGCTTATTTTTACCTCTGATGTACGGTGTATAACTGGACTTGTTGGGATGGGACCTTTTTATATTCATGACCTATATAACACGTTATCTAGCTTATTACACACTACAACTAAGACTGCTTAACAACATCACTATTTTTATCTTATGTGCAAAAAGTAGAAAAATATGAACATCCATGTATGACAAGAACGCACGATTATGGTCCTCATCATTGTATTATTTGCATAGATTATAGTCTTATATCCGCGAATTTGAAGTCTGGTAAAACATAATATTGATCTACAACTCCATCGCCGATTTTTATTTACCGATCATCGTGAAGGAAACAAATGATCAACCAGACAACACTTGGATGACATCGATATTGCAACTTTTGCTGTAATCTTGAGGTATTAATTATAAAATTAAACATAAAACTTTTGCTTTAGGTCAGTATGTTGTTTTGCAAACTTCAGCTGATGTCTTTGATGTTGTATCGTCAAATGGAAATAAAAATGTGTGGTCACAACCAAAAGTACACTGTATTGTATGAGTAACAATGCCCAAGATCCATGGTAAAAAAACAAATAACTATTTCTCTTCAATTTACCAATGACTTTAGATTGATAATGAATGGGGTTGGTTAAGTTATGGGTTTGTGCCAATTAAAAACTACTTTCTCACTTTCTACAGTCGACAGGTAATGCCGTCATCTCATTCAAATTTTTCTTCTAGAAAGTATCGTACTCAATATTTCGCACACATATCTGAACGCAACTAAATGGCTCAAAAGCAAAGAGTTATGTTATATAACCAAATGACCAAACAGTCAAAATATAAGGTTCTTTCTTTCTTTCTTTCATTCTTGATTTGTTTTCTCCACCTTTTAAAAGTCCTGTGTTCAGGCTGTTTGTGCAACCGTGCAGCATAACAAAACAGACGTATAAATCATGTTTCTTGTGTGCTTCATCCATCTTCTTAATCTACAGACCCCAGACCCGCAGAATCACTTTAATGAATATTTTTTTCCTTTGAAGTGACGGGCGCTAACATGCTTCTTGCTCATTTGCTGGACAGCTACACCACCTTAAACAGTGGTCACCTCGGACGTCATTATCTAAATCAGGTTGTTCTTAATGAAGTCAGTAAGCTGCCATCGGAATATTAAAGAGTGCTGATATCATTTTTCCATGCAGAATTTCGAGGTTAATTAGATTAAAAGCTTTATATTCCCTTTAAAAATAGAAAGTGTTCCCCTTGGGTTTAACGCGAGTGAAAACCATTAAGACGCGCTCATCGATTAATGAGTCGTTTCTTCAAAAGTTAAAATCATTGAGTTGCCATAAATGATCTTTCTAATATATCAATGCCCTCTAAGAACACACCTTTGTCTAAGGGACATCATAAATAGGTGGAGGCAATTACACTTAGTTTTGAGCCAGGATATTTTTGAGACAAAACCCCGAAGTACTTATAGCATGACCTCAAACGATTGTTCAGCTTTGTCGAGCTAAACAATACTAAAAGCAGCGTGTTAAGTTCCATAACCTCTTCAGGGTACTACTTACAAATTGTAGGAAATCGACAATTCTTACCCCTTTCTACAGCATGACATTTGAACTGCCAATTCGTTTAAAACACACTGTGATCCTGAGGCTATTGGAGATCTTAAATACTCTGACCCACATGTAACGCCCTGTCACTGGGCGCCTCCTGGATATCAAGAAGGGAGGTCAAGAGTGTCGGAAGCGCCATCCCAACTCCCGCTGCGAAAAAAAATGAGAGAACGGTGCACTTTGAGGCAAATGGTAGAGTTGAGAACTTGAAAATTGCTTCTGTGAAGATCAGTGTGTGTCTTTCATCCAAGTTACGGGGTGAATTTTTAGCATGCCCAATCCCCCCCCTCCAACCATACTGTGAAGTACATGTATATATATATGTTCCTGAGCAACTAAGATTATAGTACGATGTTCTCTCAGCATGATTCCGCAAAATTAAACAATATTGCAAGATAATTCAAAGACGGCGAGAAGAGCTTACAAGATAAGTAACATGTAGAAATTCAACGTTTATTAAAAGTGTAAAATCGCCGTATGCATGTACTTACATCAAAAAGTAGGTTCATTACTTATTGCATAAATCAGCTTATGAGCCCAAGAGAATATACGATACGACAGCCTAATCTACATGTCTATTGATTTTTCATTTCAGTTTTGTGAATACTTAGTTTTTAAAGTTTCCTGTAAAGATATTACGTTTTTGTCTAGTGTAAAGCTGTTAAAAAAGCTTGATTAACTTTTAGTAGCTAGTTTATCGGTTAAACGAGCAAGTTTATCTGTTAGTTAATTGCAAGACCTGTTTATGCACAGTTTAACTCTCTAATGTGTGATTTATATTTCATTTAAACAAAAAGAAAATAATAAGATATAAAAAAATGCAGTCCGTTGCGTTAACCCGATTAGGATAAGTTTACCTTCGGCGTTTGCACCTCGTTTCTCTGCCTGAAATATCCAATAAACTTAATTACACTGTGTTTTTGGCCACAAGGAATTCTCACCATGACAATTGTTACACTTAGAAATGCTATTATATCATTAATTGGGATCATCTACCCCAAAGAACTCGGTGTATATGCACGAAATTGCTTAAGGCCATGCCGATTTAACTATCTGGAGTACTTATTGTGGGAAAAACAGACCCAAATAATTTGTTACTAATAGCATCGCGAGAATATCCCGAATTTTAGGCAGGTTAAACTGCAGCCCCAAACAAATCTGAAGGGTTTTACTATACATTTTAGGGAGCCCCACATAAATTTACGATATAATATATACATAAAAAAAGTCACTCCTCTTAAGACTGTTATCTCACTTCCAGTACTTGGAGTCCTATTCTGCTACTCTCCCCATCAACGTGGTGTAGAAAAATGGACATCCCCGAAGAGTTTGTTGGACAAGTTACAAGAATCATGTACTGTCTGCTATTTACGGAATTCTTCTTAAGTACCCTTTATATTGCACAGCTCAAGTAACAAGTGATCTATAAATTGCCGAGAAGAGAGAGAAAGATAGATAGAGAAAGAGAGATCCATATAGCCTATACCCATTCCATCACCCTTCACTTTGAGGTGTGTGAACAAATACCTGGCTGAAAACCCAAGTGTTGGAGAACAAATTAATTTAACACTGAATATATGTATTAATTATGCCAACATTGTAGAACATTGTGTTATGCTTCCCAAAAAATATAATAAAACCCTTAAGACTTGTTCTTCGAAGCGCTATCATTTGCTCTTCAGTGAAGTGATAAATAAATTAATGGGAGAAGGAGAGAGACAACTGGCCGTTCTCTCAAAGAAACAACCTTATAAACAACATGAATTCCACGTATAGTAAAAAAAAAATTATCAGGCAAGGCACCTAAAAACAAGTCATTTCAACATAAAATTCATATGAGTCACGTAGCCCCGCCCACACCAGTAAATGCATCAGTTGTGCGCTAAAGGACAGTTAACATTAACCTACACAATTCCCTTTTCTCGCTGGCATAATATAGGTCAGGCTGGAGTTTTACCGAGTCCAGCTTTCCTATCGTATTTCACCCTTTCCAAGGGATTAGCCAGTATAAACAGTAAATAGACCGGTTGAATAAAGTACCAAGATGAGTTACGAAAAGTTCGAGGGATTTTTCTTCGAAGCCGATGAGGATAAAAGCGGACAAATTGATATCGATGAGCTCATTAAGCGTCTCAGACGAGGTGGCTATAAGGGAACAACTGAGCAAATTAAGGTAAGAGTAAACACGTTTGGAATATTTCCAGTATAACATATCCGCATAGCGTCTACACAATCTAGCAAGCCCCTCTAAAGAAAATCTGCGCGTGTCATTTGTTTGTTTGCTTGAATGACTATATTGCATTTAGATTAATCCTTAAAATACATGCGCGCCATATTTAACCACGTGGCCGTCGTCTGCGCATAGCGTCCAGTGGCAGTGTAATAATGTGTAGACATCGGCAATATGTTGAAAACTGCAATGAATGCAATTTCTCTTCTTTGGTGTGATGTTTTGTAGCGATTATACTAGTAAGTTGAGATCAAATCTATAATCACGATTTATCCGTCTTCATTAAGTGACTTTTATCAAAAGGACGATATCTCTACCAGTCGGCTTTTAAGTCTATGGGCCTATTTTAACCCACGTCTCATTACCATATATTATGTGAAGAATGGCTGCCTGGTATATTGTGTATATGATTTACCTTTGTAGAGAGCGTTTGGAGAGGCGGACACCTCTGGGGATGGCTTGATATCTTTTGAAGAATACATGACTGCCATGGGCTTTAAGCTCAAGCTAAAACACAAGTAAGTTATTTACCCCGATTCTCTGACAAATAAACAGTTCTCTCTTAGCAGAAAAGACAAACGTCAATAAAACGAGAATTATAACAATATATAAAGGAAATAATTTATTATGAAGTAATTCTGTTTTAAAATATATTTTGAACTTAATAAGCACTCTGGGCATATGGTTTTACCATTTATGGTAGCATGAGAGAGTAGTGTGGTATGGTAGGTTTTAATAATTGATGCCCATATTTAAATTGAATCGAGGGAAGGAGGGAAATGACTGCCCACCCCCCTCCCCCCAGACGCCCCCCCCACCCCCCCACCTGGCGGGTCAATCTCCATCATTGGTTCTTCGTACACCTCCACTTCTACATACTGCTGTACTTGCAGTAGCAGATTTATTTCACTTGTGCTGCAAAGTATAGCACGAACATTTGTACCGAGCAATCGATCACATTAATGTGTATTGGCCATCCCGCAGTCGTTGTAGCATAAGCAGATAAATTATATGAACTGAAAATAGCACAAAAATGCTGAGAAAACAATATGATAGACAGCCACATTGTGGTAGCTATTCTCGCACCCGCTAACATGTGTGCGTGGGCTTTGTGGCCTGGCCTGGGTCCGCGTCGGTTTGGTTTCCCTCCCGTATTTGAAAACGTGTATTTTGTCATATGAGTAGGAGCAGACGATTTTAAGTTTGATAAGGCAGTGTTGTTTTTATAGCGAAGAAGTAGTAGTTTCGTTATCTGTTGATAGGCGATCTCCGACTTGTTCTTTTGCGCTTTGCATTATATGTGCAATTATATTGTCTTTTTATCGTGTTTGTGTTACTTTTTTGACCCAGCGGACGCATCGTCAAGGCCATTGATTGGCTGCCCGGCGACAATAAGATCTGTTACAGTTCACGGTTGCTACACGCAGACATGGCGATTTTGTGAAATTGAAGACTCGTTACTCTTTGTTCAGCGGAGTGATAAATATGCCAAAGTGTTGGTTATCTAACTATCTCGTGAGAGGGGGCGTTAGCTGAGGTACAGTGTAGTGGCAACAAGACTGCTGTGATATCTTAATACCGCAGATTGATTTAGAGGACCATTATTATCCACGTCTTTAATGGAGAAGCTTTAATTCTCGCCGACGCTTGTTGACAGTATAGCTTGACATACATGTACCGGACCGTACAAATAGAGCCTATCTTAAAGACACGATAACTGACAGTACACGTGTTTGAAAATCATTTTCTTACTGTCATGGATTGGTGACCGTCCTGGCGTTTGCGTGTAGTTAAAGTAACCAGTGTAAGAACGTATTATTAGCACTTATATCTGGTATTTAGACACCCAATATGTATTCAGGATCGGCCTTCGGGTATTCTCGTAGTGTACCTGTTATTTTAAAATTTACCACACACGTTCTTCTGTGTACTTTCCATGGTGATTATTATATATGTCTTTCTTCATAACGCAATTTTCGTTTGAGCTCATCTGAGACTACCTCTTCGTTATCTGCTAATGTATCCGTTGATTAACTTACGTATATTGCCCAATGTCTTTAGAGAAACATATTGCTTTACCGTTATGTACATGTACATTGTACCTGTAGCCTACATGCGGTACCCTTCCGCCAATTTACATTCTCAGCGGTGTTATTATGTTAGAGCTTCCAGTTTGAGTTTTTAACCCCCCATTTCGATTAAAACTATTTATCAGTCCACGGATGTACCCTGCCTCACATTAGTGGAATCGATTGATTTAAATGTTATAGTTTTAATTGAACAAGTATTGTCACACTGTTGAAACCCACATTGTTGTACACATGTAACACTGACATCCATTTTAACCGAAGATTGAATTATATCTTTGCAATGTCTTACATGCACCATGGTCGTTACAAGTACCACTGCAAATGCTGTTATATTGCATTGGTGTAAGTTTATAACGTATATTTCAGAGGAGTAGCTCTGTGGAGATGTCTTGATGAGTTCGACAAAGAGAGAAACTGGCAGATAGAGTACCAGTCGCTTCCTGGCATCTTCTTCACCAGCGTGAAGAAGTACTTCACCCACGATGAAATGGAAAAAATGATCGAAGTCGGAGACAAAGTGAAGAATAGATCCAACATGATAGATATGGCCGAATACCTTAGAGAGGTAAGTACGTGTGTAATTTTGTAATTTTGAATATGCTTTTTTTACAAAACACCTTGCAATTCGTTTGCTGTGATAGCTCTTAAGGGTGGATTAATCTGATATGGTTCTATTTGACCCTTTGTTTTTTTTTCTTTTTATCACTTTTAGCTCAAGGTCTCTTAAACATAATGCACGAAATTCACTTTGCCATGATATCCGTTTCAGTTGGCCAAACTTAAAATAATTGAACTGGACGACATTCCTTTCCCCCAAGCAGAAGTGATGGAGGTAGTTACCAGTGCTACCACTGCTGGAGTTGGAGCTGCCCCAAGCAGAAAACCTGCCGCTAAACCTGCTGCAAAACCTTCCTCCAAACCCAAGAAGAAGGGCTCTGGTCCTACGGAGTCGGCTGCTGCTAGAGCCGGTAAAGATTTCATAAAAGTGTTTAATTATTTACACCTGTTGCTCGACTGAGGTTATTTGTGTGTTTACTAAAAATGCAGTAGGAAATTGTTAAAGGAAAAAGTAGTCCTCTTTCGTTACTGCACTTGCGGCTTTAAAGGAAAGAAACCATTCCTGCTGCAGGTTTTCGCAATTTGACTCAGGTGCGTTAGAATTATCTTGACAACGTTAGAAATATGCGCCAGAAAAGAGAACTGTCAATAACAGCTGGTGTGTTAACCTCATGTATACTCAGGGTTTCCATGTAACGATATTTTGAAGTAATCACCGTGTTTCCTACACCTGTTGTAGATTTGGGGACAAAAGGCAGAACAGACGAAATTTGACACTGCCGCGTACATCTTTTGATAGAACAAAATGACGTAGGCCTTCTATTTGATGCACATGACATTTATTAGACCGCATCTTCTTTCAGCCAATAATATGTCATCGCATGCGGCATGGTTAGTGATAAGGAACAATTCCAGTTTCCTTATCAAAAGAAATGGCGCCAGTTTCACCAGAGTAAGTAACCACCGCTCTCAACGTGTAGTCACGTGGTCACCTGGCCCACCAATGCGGTTAAAAACGGGTTTGTCGGGAATAGCCCATAGACTGCCTCGTGCTCAGGGTCGTTTGGATTACATATGATTTAATGAGATAGATATGTTGAATATTGTGCAATGAAACCCATATCTAACTCATTGATTGACTTAGATACTTTATGAACAATAAAACTAGATAATATAAGTAAGGAAATAAAATACCAATATAGATGATATTGGTGTGCTACAATTTCTCCTCAGGATTAATGGCATTTTAATATGTGACATTAATAGTTGTGCTGCACTACATGTCAGAGTTACTTGGCAGTAAAATGAAGATGAAAGTTCTCACTTCAGAATACAGAAAGGGACGCGTTATGTAATGCGAAATGTCTTTCAGGAACCCAATAACTTGAAGAACCGAAACTCGTTCCGATACAATGGGTTGATCCACAGGCAGACTGTCGGTGTGGAACCCGCTAAGGACGGCAAGGGAGTTGTGCTCCTCACGAAAAATAGCAAAGGTATGTAACAATGAATACTTATTTAGTCCGTGCCACTGACTTTCAACACTCGGATTCTATATCACCATTAAAATAGGTCTTATGTAGTCAACTGTCTTATGTAGTCAACTGTCTTATGTAGTCAACTTATCATGTAGAAGAGTGGAGCTGATAGAGGCAATGCTTGGTCGTTCATTTTCAAAAGATAATAATAATAATAATAATAATAATAATAATAATAATAATAATAATAAAGATGAAATTGTGATGGCTCATGTTTTGCAGTTTAATATTATTCAAGGTTTCACTATTGCTTTTTTAAAACTTAAATTACAGTATTTGTATTAAAATGGAAGTACACTTTATTATGATGGTAATTTGTAAAACGAATCCTTTTCTTTATGTTTTGCAAAGGGCTGGCAATGAACATAATGACAGTAACCTTTTAACGTCAATGCAGGTTTCCAAAAGCCCTCGAAGAGCTTTAATCGCGTGGAATTGAAGAAAGGGGCCAGACGTACGATGAATACAATCAGGAAGACACTCAGCGGAGGCAGATACCGCAAAGAGCTAACAATGGTACGTAAAATACCCATTTAGATGCTTAGGCGGATCCAGAGATATTTTTTGACAGTCTTCCAAATTATCCTTGTTGATCCATCCTCCATTTTTGACCATCTTCCGAACAAAAAATTAAGATGCCATCAATATAAACTTGAAAAATTCTGACCGTCTTCCGGAAGACCCAGAAAACGGCCTCCTTCCGTCCTTGCGTCAGGATACAAATATCGAAACGCGAACTTCCATATCATCGTCTCTGGATTACTGTTTCATCGAATCTGATAAAATTAATGTTCCACTTAAATTACAAAAATGTTCTCTAGTTTACTAGTTACTGATTTCCCGTTTGTCCCAGTCTGGTCTGGCATTTTGTGGATATGAAATATCCCATTGTTATTCCCGCACATTATACAGGCCATTCCATTCATTTTGAAATATTTAAGCTAATCATACTACATTGCAATGAATGTCCGGGTCTTTTGAAATAAACATGCATTACAGTTAGAAAAATTAAACATTTATGTTTATTATACGGTCTGTGTGTAATATACACATACATCTATTATTTGTAATATAGCAGTGCATTTACCCAGACCAGCCTTATTTAACATTCATGTCACCCTATTAACAAACAGGACAGGATCATGAGAAGATGTTACACCACAGAACCACTTGATGGCTGCTCATATACATGTACATAACTATTGCATGTGCATGTTGAGCAATGTTTTTATTGGTTATTAGATAAGAATACAGTACAAAAAACAGTATTAATATTAGCAAAGCAAATTTATTTAATTAATGTCATTGGAGAATCATATATTCATCATTGTGAGGAAAATGGCGCTTCACTTTTTGCTTATCTTTATTGCTGAACAACAGCTCCTTTTCACGCGTAGTTTCTTACATATATTTCAACTATCTACATGGTACATATCTCATATTTTCAGTATGCTCTCATATTGGTTTATTGTTTCAGGATGCAATGCGACGCGCCAGCGCTATTTTGAAAAGCCAGCAACCACGGGTCACCAAGCAGACGAGACAAAAGAAAAAGTAAAACCACGTGACAGCACTTGCCGATAGCCTACTTGGAAGCACCTGCCTTGCAGATTCTCAGTACAACAATGAAGTGAAAATATGAAACTGTCTTGTGTATTTTAAATGACAACTAAGAGAATAAGAAAAAGAAATAAAGAAAAGTAAAACAAAGGAATCATTTTCATATATTTGAAATAAAACTTTAACCCTTGGATAACTTAACTGACTGTAGGAAGGTTAACGAGTATTTTGCGTGACAGCAAACCCGTCGTTAAATATTTATTGCAACAATTTATTTTAAATTGACCATGGGACTAAAATAACTTTTTGAATTTGGTTAACGCCAGAACTAGTTTTTTTTTTTTGCCAGATGCATTTCGTCTGATAGCTAATTGTAGTTCACAGTTGAGGCGTGGTTGCTGACAATTCTAAACTAAATATGCAATCATGGCCACAGCTGCATATGCAAATCCTTACTTTGGGGTGTGTCGCTTATATAACTATGGCGTAATTTTAACACATGGCGAAATGCTGTTTCGAGAAACGAATGTCACGTCTGTAGGATGCATCTCGCCTTATCGTAATGCCTGCCTGGTAGAATCAACACGGAACGAATGGAAGAAAAGTGGATGGGAAATAGCATGCCATTTACAGCTGTAGACTTAACAGTAAGTGGCAAAATTGCTTGCGAGGAATCGTTCATGATATCACATCTTCCTCGCGTATTTGTTGATAAAGCCTTTCAAATACATTGTCGCAGCCGAGTCTCTCCACTAAGAGAGCTGCATTTTAAGTTTGGACATCGGCGTGTCCG